GATGAAGCCCTATGTTCCTCTAGGAATTAAAGGATATAGTAATAATAATAATCACCACCATTGTCTCCCATTTCACCGAAATATTTTGTAATCGATTCCAGCGTAGTACGTTCGCCACACAAATACAACAGTAGGGAGTGCCCTAAGCCTTTATAGACCTCATTCATCAGCTGCATGATGATGCCACAAAACAAGTGATTAAAAACAGTAAGCTGAACAAAGTCCTTGAAGTGAAGACGTGAGTAAGACAAAGTTACCCACTAACTCTGGTGATATTATGCTTTGTGGCGTACTGGAGCATGTGACAGGCCGTGGGTAGCAGAAAGACGAGTCTTCTCTGTATCAAAAGGAGCACCGTAGAAGATCTGGATTCTACTGATGATTTGAATCTCAATTCACACAAACTCGATTATTCGCCAGTTAAAACTAACAATTTGACCAAACAGGCGGAGAAGGTAGGATTTCAGGCATACGTATATAAGATAGAAATGATACAGGTACCCACTCACCCAACAACAACAACAACAAGCACCACTGACCATCAGTTGGAGATATTTGAAAGAAGTCGTTCCACTGAGTTACCTGATAAGCGTCGTTTATACTGCAGAAGTGATGGGTGATGGTAAAACTGGGATGGGAAACACAAGACAGACTTCTATTACTCTGAAATTAGCTTACACGCCTACAGCACTTTGCACACGGAACACCGTTGGGATATTTAACACTAATGTCAGGTAAGTGCTTTTTCATATTTCAGGGAATTGGCACGTCGGTAAAAGTGTGATGATTAGCTAGCTGCAAATACTGCCTTCAGCTGGCATCACACAGCATTCCCTCGGATCGGAACAGATAGGTTTGGCGTCCCAGGATGATATTAAACGGATCGTATGAAGAAGAAATCAGAACATGCAGGGAGCTGTGGAGTCGGCTCACAGTCGTAGTGCAGAATAAAGCACAAGGAAGTTGTCCTGCTATAACTCCTATTTTCCATTGTGAATGCAAGGAAATTATGATGTGCGTCGGTGGCACAGTGGTTAGGACTCTCGCCGACCATGCACATGGTCCGGGGTTCGAGCCCACGCCGGCGCACACCTGATATCTATGGTCGGCCTGCGAAATTTGGGCTACCGATATCCATGCTGAAAATTCCATACTTGTACCAAAAATACGGTGTGGAATCAAGCTGTAAATCAAAAAAAAAAATCAAAAAAAAAAAACACATCTTGGGTTTTCGGCCTAATATACCTCATTCATCACTCCCAGAAAAGGATGCGATATCTTAGTATTTTCATAAAGATATATATGAATAAATCAGGCAGGAAATTTGAGACGATAACAATATGTCAGAAATCCTTACCTATTTATAAGTTCCTACATAGATTATCCCACGCTTGGACAGTGAAGACTTAACCGACTGATTATGTCACCATTTCTACTACGCCTTTAAATGTTAATAACATTCTCATCCTTTTTTGGTAGATCGTTCTTTAGTCTTTCTGAATATTCAATAAAACACATCTTATTCACATCATTTAGAGTCTAGCAATAAGTAGTCTTCTCCGTTTCTTAAATCTTTATCTATTACTTTTATTTGAATATTTGCTTGTATATTCTTGGTGGTTTTATACAACTCTAGTTGCGGAAGGTCACTCTGTTTTTCACCACTATTATTAATGGAATTGTTGTTATTATTATCATTATAAATTATTGCACAAATTATGGCCTAAATATTAGCACCATAAAAACAAATCTTCATAACTTCCTTACGTTCAACATGTATTTTTTTTAGTTTATGTATATTTGAGTAAATCCTGCTAAGATTTAATTGAAAATAATATTGGAAACTCAGTGGTGCGTACCACGGAAGTGGCCCAAAGTGGTGGGACGAAACAGCTATCCAGTACTTCCAGGATTTCCAATGGTCTTATAACCGATGTCAGTTCACGATGAAATCCTTAAACTAATCGAATCCCTGCAAACCAACACCTGAATATTTATCTGATGCCCACAAGTGACTGGCCCTATTCAGATGGGTAGTTACGTAGATTCCGGTAAGAATTGGGGACCAGTGGGGTACAGTAGGTCAGGTGTAAGGACAAGTACTCGCCAATGTCATAGGCTAGGGTAGCGTTATATAATTAATTAGGAGTTGGAATTCGTGGGCTAACTACTGTGTCGGTTCCAGTGGCTTAATGGTCTAAGGAGTAGCTCACCTTGTAACGAGAAGATCCTGAGTTCGAACCTCAGTGAGTGCGTAGTGCTGAAGATTCCCAAAGTAATACAAAACAGATGTCTAGTACTCCCAGGTTTTCCAATGGTTCTCTAACTGATGTCAGCTCATGATGAAATCCTGTAACCAATCAACCAAATCCCTACAAACCAATACTTGAAGATGTCTGGTATTCCCTACAGGCTTTCCACCGGTCTTCTAATCGATGTCAGTTCATGATAATATCCTGAAACTAATCTAATTCCTGCAAACCAACATCTGAAAATAATACTGTTCGCTTAAATGTGTTGCTCTAAGTTTTAGCGAATGAATCCTTAATATTGAAACATAAATGGAATGTTTATATGATATCTAAAAACGGAAATCTGGAATTCTCCATAACCACAAGTGGAATAAAGTCTTAACACATAGAGTATTGTTATAAACATAAGCTGCTGTACAAATATCACGAGATAATTCGAATTCGAACTCTGGATATGCAGAGGAAACTTTCTTATCTGAATTGGCGGCTAGCACCCACATCTGCCTGCGATGTTCTATAAAACAGGTCTTACGACTTGTTCTATCTACTCTAGATGGATCAAATCGCCAGTCAAATCTTTCTGTCGGAAGTTGTTCGACATACTGTCCGTTTGAAACACCTTTGTTTTGATTTTTCTTAGAAGCGATCTGAATACTTTGAGGGAAACAGCTCGTTGTAATAAGACGTTAGGATTTCGTGTTTTTAAACTTCATTGATAATGGAGTAAAAAATGTGCTGCCTCACTTCAATTTCCACTGGTTGCATTTCAGATACCTGGTATGTAGTCAACACTCTATCTAAGGTGAGTTTTAAACTTTATATCGAAACTATCAGTTGAATTTACTACTTGCATCCTACTAATTAGTTTGTACCTTGATAATTTTACAGAATTATATTGCTTACTGGCTGGAAAGGTCTTGATTTTACATCATACCCTAAGCAGTAGCATTTGTATGCGTTCTCAGCGAATAGGCTGTTAGTATTTTTCGGTTGATATTTACAGCTACTTACATTATTTAGTAGTATATATAGATATATCTTTAGTAGATCATTCATGTAAATGCCGTTTTTTCTATACTAAAATCGTTTACTTTTCTAGCTATATCTTCGTTTCATTGAACTACTTGCACATGTTACTACTTAACTGTCTCCATAATTTCGAAAGTTATCTGGGGAATTCTGTTTAGTTTTTTTTTAATTATTGTATTCGTGCAATCTCAATTTATATGTATTTGATATCTATGAAAAGCCAATCTACTAGTAAGTATTTAACATACATAACCACTTTACCTTAACATTTCTTCAACTTAGCAGCTTTTCACAACTTTCTATGCATTTTTGTCATGTTTCATTGTTTTCATGACAAGTAGTATAATAAAAGAAAGGAAAGCTCTTCAAGTACGAGGAATTTCAATGGGTTTACTAACAAGGCTGTAACAACCTTCATAATGGTAGACTGTATCTTTTAATATTTGAGGTAAATTGGTAGGGATGGTGACTAGCAGTGGAATCCAGGACGCACATTTCGTCCCATTTAAGACTCGTCAACTACTGGATGTACCTGCATTCCGCAGTCAGTGAGTGATGGTGTTCCCACCGAGGCTTGAACGTAGTGCCCATCGTTTCAAACGTCAGAGTGTTATTCACTAGGTCATTTGAGCCACGAAGTCCACCTGTTCCTTGTTCATCGGGAGTATCATTGATTATTTAATTCATATCAACTTGAGGCCGAGAACTTCGGTCCAATCAATCAACGGGAATGTGCAAATCGAATTAAACAAGTATTTTCTAATATTAATCAAAAATTAATTTCATGTTTAGCGTTTAACTACATATACTAGAATGTCTTGAATACAGAATTCATATATGCTTAAGAGGAGAAATAGTGTATCTTTGACTTCGTGAAATCATACTTCAAGACTTCAACATGCATCTTCAACTGATACGATAGAAGTTATTGCTTAACTACTTCGGGTGGATTTCAAATGAATTGTTTTTGTGCATCGCAGTATTGTTTTTTATTCCTTCACGTTCCCGGTGGAACATGGAGCTTCTAGTTAGATGTTCGAAGTTTCTGTAGCAGTGGTGTTTATTTTTACAGGATGGGGTTGCTAGACTCATATTCAACCTTTCCTCTTTACCAGCTTTACTACTGACTTAATGAGGTAAAGGAGCGCATCCGCGGGGGATCTAAACCCTGAACACATGAGCGGTTGGCGAGCACTCTACGTCTGCTTCACCGACGCACACAGTGGTGTTTACTTCTTCAAAACCTTAGGCGGTACTCGAGCACAAGACATTAAATTTATTGTTGAGTACCTCAGTTCACATTGCGAGTCTCTTAAAAAACTGGAAAGTGGTGGGTTCCAGAAGGCAGAACAACGCACTAGTATAATTTCTATTCAATCTTTTACTACTATTCAAAACTGGTATAATAAACAGGGAATCAACACGGTCAAATAAGTTGTTGTGTGCAAAGAAAAACAGTGTTTTTTGACATTCATATTTAACAAAATGTAACATGGGATATATACATTTCCAACTATGTACAAAACTCAGCTTTTGTTAAATGACACAGCAATCTATGGTAATGGTTTACCACTTGATCAGTCTTTGAAGCAATTAGAGTTTAACCTCTTTACGTACGACTAAAATGAGTCAGAAGTAAAAACAGTTCATCATAATTTAAGGTATTATGCAAGTAGAAACCTATAACTAGGCATCATTTAGTGCGTAATTGCTTTTCAGTTAAACAAATGAAGATGTTAATTGAGGTAGATCACTTGATTTACTTTGTGCAATGATACTAACATGATTCAAGTCAATAGAAACAGGGAGACGATGAAATGTATCATTGTCACTTGTCTGATTATGACTTTGATTCTGACTTTTAGATATTTCATTCTTTTTAGATGTAAATAACTTGCATTTAGATTTTTGCATTGCAGAGAGCGTTATATCACTATTATTTGAGACTGAGGCTGAGATGGTCGTAGGTGTTTCACTGGCTGACTTTAATTCATTGTATTTTTGAGTTGATGTATTCAGGATAGACTTATCACTCAAATTACGCTTAGGTGGCATTACAATTGACTTGGTGTTTTGAGAGTTAGGGACAAAATTTGTGGCAGTTGTAGTCATATCGTCTGTTTGGAATGTTTTACCAATAGAGTTACTACTTTTATCATTGTTTTCACTTCTTGAGATAATATTTGAAGCGTCCATTTGATTATCCATAAGTAAATTGTACTGTGTTTGACGATTCAGTGTTTTGGAGAACTCCATTTTATTGAATAATACTGGAGACGATTGATCTTCATATAAAGAGTCGGGAGTTTTAAATGATGTAGGATTTTCTAATTGGTTCTGATTACTATTAACAAATTGTTTCCTGGAGTCATTATGTGAAATTGTCGATGGTAAATACGAATTTGTGGCAGAATTTATTTGACTAATTGATAATGGAGTATAATGCGAACTATTCATTGTCCAATGAGGCACTAAAATAAATAGAATGAATCTTCTGTGTAAAATATCTAATTCATTTAAAATATATATTCAGGTAAAGTTACTGTAAACTTAGTGAAAAGTTTATTTAACAAAATGCTGAAACCAACAGTGACCGGGTGAGGTGTTTTCTGGGTGCCGTAACTCTACACAACAGTTTAGTCAAACATCGAATTTAACTGAATCTGAATAATATAGAGAAGTACTTAGTTTCTGTTCCATCCCAAATATACCAATCTTATTTCATCTTATTACATTGTCGGTCATTTAAAAATTCTTGAGGTATATGTGAAATGATAAATATGATAGAACTTAGTGCTCACGGAAAAATCACAACAATGAGAATACCAAAAGATATTTTGGAGGCTTGCTTAAATCACTGGGTTACCTAATCTTCCATCCATCAAAATTTATCTTCTTAACTCTATTTCATAATGTTTCAATTGTCACATCATACCTTTGAATAGCAATTTGTACTCATCACAATTTTTTTAAATACGATTAAACTCACTACTATGAGATTTTTGAAGAAAATGTAAAACTAAGCATAGCAAGTTATTGGAGCGTGTCTGAGATAGAAAAATACGGCTTCATTATGAAATATAAGAGACTTTCCACTCGGAATAAATAATTTACAAAGAACATGCTGGAAGTTCTGCAATATGTACTGAAACATTTTTCAGAATTAAGTTTATTATTGTTGATGAAAGCTTTGTGACTCGTTTCAAAGCGAGTATTTGGACGCAAGCGACATTAAATGCTGACGTTACGGGGACAAACTTATTTTTTCGGAATAAAGAAAGTGTGCCCTACCTGCCTTCATACCAGACGAATGTATTTAGTGATGGATATGTCTGATGTCCTCTAGACCATCTTGGCCTCTTCGAACTGTCAGTGCGCAGCGACCATGAATATTCGATCACGTTTGCCTCTGTAGAATTGTTTGCATTCGATGTCATCATCGTGTAAGCAATTCTGAGGTTCGGCAGTGTGTTTTTGAACAAGATAGAGGTGACTGATGATTGAGTGTAGCCATCTAAAAGTACTGACTTGGGTGACTTGTGAATGTCCTACATATGTCACTCCAGAGGCTCTCGTAACGGTCACTGTTCACTGGCCCTTGAAAAAGGTCAGGAACATCTGAGAAGTGTTCAGTCTATGGCATAGCACCGTGGGATGAAGGATATTTGTATTAGATTAGAATCAGTCGGCAAATCACGTCTCCCTTGTTGCAGTCGGAGAGGTAGTTCAAATCGGTGATTCGAGAGTTTATCAAATATGGCCAAGAATCGTGATCTTGCTGCAGTTTCCCTCTTTATCCCTTTTCCGGAAGTAACATGTAGTGATGAATACTGAATGATCTTGGAAGTATGATTAGTTGCTTTTTGGATGACTTGCCTCACTAATTGTATCCCAACTTTTTTATATAATTTCAATTTGTTACTTTATTGCTCATAATGTATCAAGTTTATGTTCTAAAATTATAAGATGAAGCTGTTTGATCATACGGCATATATAACTTGAACTACAGGAGCAGTTGAAATGGTATGTGGATTAAATGAAGCTGAGATTAAGTAACTCGAAATGTTTCTTAATGTGCTTCTTAATTAGCTGTGAACACAGACTGTTAAAAATGATATATGTATGCTTAGAACACTTGTACTTACTAGACATAACTGTGTCCACGTATGCATCGTTAGATGGAAGAAAATTCACATGATCACATCCACGTACAATATATGTTGGTGACAGACTCCTGTAATTAAGACTATTCATACCACAATCAGAAATCATTTTATTCCCTGAGCCAGAAAATGTTTGTGATTCATCCAACTCCTTTTTCGAATGACATGTCAGTGTATTATCCAAACGAATATCACCATCAACATTCTGTAAAAGTTAAAAGAATAAAAGTTCAAAGGTCAAATGTAGGTATCACACACCTTGCATCCTATTTCGGGTATACCAAATGTCTGTTTCACTAAAGAAACAATTAAAGCAGTGCTTCGTGTACTTATCCATACAGTTACTACAATAGTTGTAAAGCTAACTATATGTATCCTGTAAATCACTATCTGTTAAACAGAAAAAGATATTTAATGGTAAAAACTATAGCGCTCATCGATTGAATTCATTTATTTTGTTTTAAGTATTGGTTTTCAAGTATTGGTTTTGTAGAGTATTTTGTTTTATTGGTCGGAGGATTTCATCATGAGCTGACATCATTTGGAGAACCATTGGAAAACCTTGGAGTAATAAACAGCTGTTTCGTCAATCCACTTTGAGACTCTATATCAGTACACCCCTACGTAGGTTCTCTTTGTGTTCTGAGTGAAGTATAGAGCTTCAAGCCTGAGACTTTTAGGATCATTAGGAATAGCTTCATGCCAAATCTCCCCACCTCTTTACGGAATTACTAAGCGAGGTTTCTAGAAGTGTGTCAGCCGCGAATCAAACCCCAAACCATTTGCGTAGTTAGCAAGTATTCTATAGCTAAACTGCCGACGAATGATTTATTCTATGTAACACGCTTTATCATGTTATCATATGATAAAGTCTGCTGTTTCATTTCAAAAGTTTTATAATTGACATTAAAATTATTAATTTTCTCTCAGTAATAAAATTTAGGTTAAAAGTAGTTCATATTCATATTTCGTTTCTTTTTATTACTTTCAGTTATGAATGCTTCGAAGAAATATTTGTGTTAGCAATTTGTTACAGCTTCAGCATATATTTTAAAATAAAGCCTGTGAAACACGGTCATCATAATACTCGGTGAAGAATAGGTAAAACTATGTTTTATATTATCCCCTTGTGAAGTGAATTAAAATAAAAAAGTCAGGTTGCTTCAAATGATAATGAAGATAAGAAAGGAAAGGAAAATTCCAGTCAAAGTAGGAATTTTCTTATAAGTAGGTTGAAGGAATGTTACGTAACTGACTAGGAAAGAGTTCATATGTAGATAGATGTAGGGTACCAAAGGTAAATTTATTTTGTTTCCACAGCACAAATCTAGTGTTTATTGCCCAGGTAGTTTGCAGAGGAATGATCTCACTTTAAAATAATCTCTATGTATAGAAACAAAGTATCACTTATATTGAATTTATTTTAAGATTAAAAAGACATATTCGATGGGTTGGGTAGGACATTTCTTATTGCTTCAACCCCATTAGTGTTGCAATAGAGAATAACTTTACTTTCTTAGATTTCACACACTGCTTGATATTATAATAGAACATATCCAGAAGTGTGAGATGTTTTAATCTACTCTTATCAATAATAGTTTTGAAGAGAGAAAGAACGAACATGTTCGCAGGATAATACGAGCTCGTTTTATTTCGTGGATACTCATCAACTGCATACATCCTAAACAAAATCAAATTATAAGTTTCAAAAAAGTTTTGGAACATACTTTTTCATAATTACTTGGAGTTATAAATAGAAGGTATAAGAAACATAATTCCGGAATTTGATGTAGGTAGACAGATTATTCAGTGTCAAAAAAACTAATTATATATAGTGGAATTAGATAAGAGGGTTTAGAGTTCAAATTACTATTGGGAAACGCAGATTGGTTCGAGGCATATTATAGGGTCAAGGTCAGAGAACAGAGTGAATTTACACATGTGGTGGAGAGTTTAAGAGGGTGGGGGTGAATAGTGAAGTAAGTAACAAAAAACAAAAATAAATAGATAAAATAGGATTAGGGTTACCAGGGTAGTGAAAGATTAGTCACACTATCTTTCTGTGTACAGAGGTCTGGTCGAAGTCTCTTGATAGCGATGGCTTCTGCGAAACGAAGTAGCCATGGGTTTCTTTGCGTATTGATTATTTTGAAGGCATGGCTGATTTCTACTGTGTGTCCTGTGTCAATTAAATGTCTGGCGATTGCACTCGATAACACTTTTCTTCCTTTTGTATGGAGGCTCTTAGGAATGTGCTCAGAAAATCTAGTAGATGCTCTCCTCTCAGTCCTTCCTATGTACTTGCTTCCGCAGGTGCACGTGAATTGGTAAATGCAGTTGGAGTTGACGTGAGTAGGGTACTCATCTACTTTTGACTGGGTTAATGAGCACACAGTGTTGTGAAATAGGATCAGTCTGGCAGCTGGAAATGTTCTTTTTAATGCACTTGAGATTCTTTTTTGTGTTCTTGTGGATACGTCTTCACCTTTGTAGGCTAGGCAGATGAAAACTGGTTTCTTTTCAACGGTGTCGGGTTTCGGTTTGTGGGTTTCCTCATTTCTATACTTTAATATGAACTTTCGGGGATATCCATTCTCGATGAGGTTCTTTTCGATGACGGCAAGTTCTTCTTCAATAGTGTCTTCCGAACATATTTCTTTGGCTCTGCTGAAGAGCGTTTTTACTAGACCTCGTTTGTAGCTGGTTGGGCAAAAGCTGTGATAATTTAAGTATTGACCAGTCCAGGTTTCTTTCCTGTAGATAGATTTTTGAATCGTCCCGTCGTTTCTTCTTTTTATGTTGACATCAAGGAAATGGAATTGGTTTTTTTTTTCGTAGTCGATTGTGAATGCAATATTGGGATGAGCTGCATTGAGTTTCTCAAACATTGCGAACGCGTGTTCTATATCATTGCAGACTACGAACGTGTCGTCGACATATCTGCAGTAATAGGTGGTTCTATCTATTTCTTTTTTCATTCGAGTCTGTTCAAGATGAGCCATGAATATGTCAGCAAGAACAGGACCCAAAGGTGAACCCATAGCCACCCCGTCAATCTGCCGGTACAGCTGATTGTTGAATCGGAATTGAATATTCTTTGTGCATAGAAGTAGCAATTTTCGTAGCTCGTTTTCTGGAAGAGGAAGTAGTTCGGACTGTTGGCATATGATTTTAACCGTTTCTTCGATGGGTATGTTGGTAAACAGTGAACAAACGTCGTATGACACGAGAAGTCTATCCGAAATATCGAGTTGATCTAATTCTTGTGAAAACTGAAAAGAATCTTTGATACTGTGAGTTGCCAGCTTTTTTCGAATGGGTTCCAGCTTTTGGGCCAACCATCTGGCCAGTTTGTGACATGGTGATTTCACCATTGATATTATAGGTCTCATTGGTACATCACTTTTGTGAACTTTGGGTTGACCGTACATGACTGGCACACGCGAACCCCTTGGTTTAAGGTCGTTGTAGGTGCTGTTGTCTATTAGCCCTTCTTTAAGTAGTCCTTTAAGGTGCTTGTTTACTTTGTTTTCGAAGGCCGTTGTTGCTTCTTTTTTTGACGTATCAACTTGGAATCTTATTGTATCATCGAGAATGGTATTCATTTTCGAGATGTAGTCTCGGCGGTTCATTATTACGACACCTGAACCTTTGTCCGGTTTGAGAATGACGATGTTTTCATTGTTTCGTAGGTTTTTTATTGCTGTTCTGTGTTCTTTAGTAAATAATTTTGAGTGTGCTGGAGGAGAAATCTGATATTGTTCTGCAATATCGATCATTTTGGACTTAAACCAGACTCTTTTATCCTCGTCTATGGGTTTTAGGTCGGAAAGTTGACTGTATAAATACTCAAACTGCGTTTCTGTATCGATTCTGTTGATAAACGAGTTTGGTACGTGATACTTAAATCCTAAGGACAGAGCTTCAGTTTCAATTTTATTAAGTTTCACATCTGATAAATTGTATATGTATTTTTCTGGGCACTGTGGAAATTCTTCTTGTAGTTGTTCAACTACTAAAGATTTTCTGAGCTTCTTTCCATATGAGTTCGCTGTTTGCGTTTGTAAATCTTGCATGAAGTTAATGAACTTTATACGACACACTAAATTAAGGCTTTCCAGTAGACTGTCGAATTTCACTAGATTTGACCTTAGAGCGGTGATGTGCTTTTGAGATGAGTCGATATGTGATTTAGTGATTCGGCGCAGGTTCTTTAAAGTTGGAGGTAGTTTCGTCGATCTGATTAGTTTCAGGAATTGGCGTGGAAAACAGCCTATCTCCAGACACTCTTCGTAGAATTTAATCTTGCAGGCTTCTCTCGCTATTCTGCAACGTAACTCTCTTCAAACTAATAAAGGGAACCCGTTGTATGAAATAATAGTTTTGTTACTCTGGCTTGATCACAGAGGTAGAACTTGTGATAGCAATGTAGTAAATATTTCATGGTTCTACATCCAAAATGGTGGAACAGCTACGCTTAGTGATAATAATAATTCATCTTTCATAGATAACACAGCTCGAGGTAAAAACCTATCATAGTTTTCTTTGCAGAACTAAACGTGACTTCGATTTTCTCGTCATTTGATTGAACCGAGGTGCTCTATCTCAGGTTGACAAGTTGGCTCCTTATGCAGATGCTCTGACGATGCCTGGTCATGTAACTTGAAGTCAAATGGTGGATGGTGACTAGCATGGGAATTCAGGATGTACATTTCGTTCTATTTGGGACTTTTCACCTAGTGGATGCACCTGCACACCCTAGTCAATGAGTGGTAGTGTTCCCACAAAGGCTTGAACCAAAAGCCTAAACATTATCCATAAGACCATTTGAATCACAACCAATATATGATATGATAAATGAAAACTAAGTAAGGAAACAAAATCACAAGGTGATATCCCCTGACATGAAATAAATATGGAAGTCTACAACTTTTATAACCACGCCTAGTTAACTAACTCGCTAGTTTTCTAGCCGGTCCCAAGCCCAGTTAAAGAGTGAGGTTCGGGAGTGGGGCTACTACCCACACGCCAATAAATCTTTCTAAACGCTAGAGAAACTTCAACACACACAAATACAACTTTTATACGGTGAAGTAAGATTCATGAATATCTTCTTTGTCTTTGCACAAGCAAGTGAACCAATCTCCAGGTAATTTCAGAACTTACATTCTACACAAGCTGATGAAGATGAATCACAAAGGCCATAATAATATATGTGTAAAACTTGGGCACTGTGGTAGTAAGTAATTCCATATAAGTTTGTTTATTAGATGTATCACACAGTGAAACAGTATCACAAGTATAAAATAAGAAATCTAGAGAATAGTTCAGCTATAGCACTACAAGCAGTTACACACAACCATACAATAAGATGGGATAGGATGACAATTTTATAAAGGTTGGAGGGAAAGATTGATAACAGAAGCATTTTTATCGAGTCAACTGCAAATACATGTAATAGGAATGATTTAACACCTGTCCCAGATATCTGGAAAATTCTACTACCCTTACGACAAATAGGAGAAGACAAAGAAAATTATAAAACTCAAGTTTCAAAGTCGTGTGGTTATAGGTGATATGATTATGAACAATAAATTTTGTTCGAAACGTCATCCAGCAAATAATACTGTTTCACTGTGTGATACACCTAATAAACAAACTAATATGGATGCAAAAAGGCAGTGAACACTAGGATACACAGAAAGTCACATAGCATTTGATACACTTACTAATTACTGTTTGAACTATCTGTTTTTCACATAAAGCTCTGATTATTGAGTTAAACAACTGATATGTTTTTTCAGTGTTAAGTGACAATAACCTAAGAATATCATATAAGCGTCTATTTTCCGCGGACTGGTGAAGTGAAACTGATTATTTTTAAATCAAACAGTTGGAGTTGAAGTTTCATTTAAGTTTCTTTAGGAAGCCTAGAATGAGGTGTTAGCCCACAAAGAAAAGAACCGAAAAATGAAACACAAAATCTAATAGAAAACAAGCCAATAATTGATGTGACAAGTCGGATGTTATTTAAGTCAGTGAATATTGCTCAACTGTCGGTATTTTTCATCCTGAAATGTACAAAATATTGAGTAAGTTTTCTACAACACTTTAGTGCTCTTATTCTCATAATAAGATAATAGTGCACATATCTATTATCATGAACATTGGTATGTACATATTAACAAACATATAACAGTGAGGTTCCAATGAAAACGATCCGATTCAAAGTAAATAAATAAACTTTCTTACTTTCTTGTTGTTATTCAGTGTGTCTCCATGAACGTCGGTTTTCACTACACTATCTGTAAGAGAATAAGAAAAGTGAACGTAAAGCTTGACAGCCCATTGTGAAAATTGCTTAAAAGGAGATATTATTAATTTCCTATAATTATGTAAGCAGTTTATGCACACAAACACTAGCAAGTGTTTCTTTGGCAGTTGTATCAGTGTTCAGTATGTGAAATTGAAAATACAAAGGATGCTCATGCACGAAGTGGAACTATAACCAAACACTGACGGCTATACGGCTTACGATTTAATTCATGAAACTGTAGGATATTGAGAACGGTAAGCATAAAATCAACGGAATCACCGGGCGCCAACCGAATCTCGTTTATTGTTAATTAACTTGATAATAAAAGCCTCGTTTTCAGAGAAATTTTGTGTCCTTCTAGTCATGTTTAAATTTCTCTTCTCTTTCTTTCTCTTACTCTTTTATTCTGGAAAACCGAATCGTCTTTTCGTTTTTTTATATCTGTCGTAGTCCTATCCAGATAATCGTTGCTACTAGATATTTTTTCTGAGGATATTTTATTGGATACATTTTAAAAGGGATCGCTTAGTCCCCCTAATACATAAATGAGGAACTTCCTAAATGAGAAAAGTTACAGGCGTAATAATAACTTCGAAACAAAACAGAAAAGAATAAAAAAATACTGATAAATCTGTAAACTTCTTTATACAAAAGTATTACAAACAGTAAACAATTATGAGCCTGTTATACTGTTCGAAAGAACGAAACTAAAAGTTTGAATGAATTATCGACAGTCTTCCAGGGAAACAGTGTTACAATAGCTCTCAAGAGCTATACTTAAAATAAAGAATCAGCCATTATAAAAATAATTAGTGCGACGAGTAGCAGTGGTTTTAAATCGCCCGGAAACTCTAAGTAGCTTATTGATAAACTTAGGAAAATATAAACCTTTATATGTTTTGCAGGTATTCACATACAACAAGCTGCTATTAAAAATTATATAGATAATAAATTTTAATGGTCTGTTATAGATGGTCAAAATTTTTATAATATTGTGTGTAGTGTTAGTAAATATATTGAATACGATTGCGCAATCACTTGTGGGTTGGATGACTTTAATGAACATAGCATTATCCTTTTTTCTTTGTGTAATATCTACAAGTTTTAGATAAACTCCGTTTAGCAACCGTATTAACTGACTGTAACTTTGAGTTTTACGTTTCAAATACTAACGATAAAATATATCTGAGCAGTATTTCGCGTTGATGATTTGGCAGTAGAATTTTCGCCAGCCATGCACACGGTCTGACGTTCCGACCTCCTGCTGACACACTGCTTAACCTTACTTAACCCGTTACAGAGAGAAAGTTGGGTGCAAGGCTAGAAACCTCACTCCGCAAAAGTAAACAACACTGCTAATGAGATCTCGTGGCTTAATCTTGAAGCCCTATGCTTCACTCAGAACACCGAGGAATCAAATAAGCTAATTATTCAAAAATAAACGTCTTACCATATTTTTCTTGTCCATTCTCTCCAATATTTGTCTTTCTTACTTTAACATAGAAACAGGCAAAACTAATTATCACCAGTAATAGGGCTAAACAAACAGCTAAGGCTAATAAATACATAGCAGGTAAAGTAAACGGTTTGGAATGTGTTAATTCTGATGATCTCATAAATGATTTTGACGATAACTTTCCACCTTCACGTCCACCTAATAATGTTTGAACATTTGATTTATAAGCAAAATATTTATTGTTTCCATTTTCTGTATTTTGATTAGTTGTTGAATATTCATGATCACTTTTAATATCATTTTTTCGATTTGATGTTGGTGCATAATTTTCAGAGTACGTATTCTGTATTGTTTCAATCGGATCATAATAAAATATTTGTAAACTAGTTATCGACTGTTCTGGAGTTGGCCCTTTATCCGATACACGTATCAATAATCTATCTGGTCGACGATAGCGTTTTGGAAGATTGTTTGGTGCAGGCGATATCATGTCAGAATAAATTAATCGTTTAGATAAAAGAAGACGTCCATCTGGTTGTAGAGTGAATGTAGGAACACTAGCCGATTCTTCATCACTTCCTCCGCTTTTATGACTTTTTATTTCATTGGAGAAACCAAGTGTCCCTGAGTAAGCCATATCAAAAACAACTGTTCCATTAGGACCATTGTCTGGATCATATGCCTCAAACTGCGACAAAAGAATATAAAAACAATTACTCATTAGTAATATCTTAACAATTTTAGAAAATTCAAATAAATTATGCAAAGCTTTACAGAATAATCTTTATTTTTACTCTCAGACTTACTGTATGATAAAAAATTAGTCACTGTTTATAGAAATATACTCGTAATTTGCTAGGCATAATAGTTATTCAAAAAAGCATGTATGCCTGGTAAACGAGAAATATATGACATTGGAAAATGAATACTGAATTTCACAACGTAGGCATAAAAATATGAGCAGTTGAGGCTAAATGCCCATGGGTGAAAATGTATTAATACTTAATCTATGTGAAAGAAAAAGGCAAATGTCTACAGGGTAAGGTCTTCTCTATGCTAACTGGAGGTCCTGTATTTATTGCTAGCCTGTAAGCCTTCAAATTTATGTGTCATTAAACATAAATCATCCAGCGTATTCCTGCCATTTTGCTCCTCGATCACGGGATGCTGCACAAAACAGTTCGCTACAAACAGGTAATTATTCACTAGTAATAGTTTCCTTATTCTGTTGATTTTGCCCTTTAAATGTTCTAACTTATTAGTTATACTTCTTGCTTCGTTATTTAAAGGTATAACTCAACCTACCCTTTCTGATTTTTGGGTGGGATAAATCAAACGCGAGTGCTTTTTAGAATGCGACGGTTTACCATAGATGCTGGTATTTAATCCACCATCATCTTTTCTTTTTATTTTTAAATCGTTCTGCTGTCAGTCGTGCTATACTGCAATAAATTATGCTCAAAACGTCATCCAGTTATTGGTACTGTATCATCATGTGTTATATCAGATAAAGTAACCTAATATCGATAAGTTTATATGTACAGATTATTGGAATACATAAGAAACGCCGATTCTGTTACATTTGGTTGAATGTAAGCACCCTGGATCATAATTTCGTATTGATCTTATTTTCAACTCCTCCTTTTGTTCTTGCTTATCAGGATCTGCTTGGAAATCACAAGCCCGTCTGAAAAGTTTCCTTTGTGCACCAAGATTCAGGTAGCTATTTGAACAGGAATGAAACCTTTACTTAAAACTGATTTAGTTTTATCAAAGTATTGAATAAGTTATCATTCAACGCCAACCAGCAGTATTTTGGATTTCAATTATGTAGCCTAACAATTTAGATTTTAGAGGCTCTATAGTATGGATCATTAGGAATGATCACATTTATTTGGTAGTTGAAAATTACTTTTAAAAAGAAATAACCATATGTCCCACAGTAACCTGGGGAGAGAAAAATCTGTACTGAAAATTCGTACAGGAAAAATGGCTCTAAGTTATTTAATTATTGGTTTCTAAGTCATTGTTAAGCATATTTTGGAGACAATTTTTTGTAGACTATGAAACATTTTCAGGTTTTTTTTAATTTATTCTATCTGCTTTCAGCTAGAAGAGTGTTCAACAGTTTTAGACGCCTATGACCTACATCTGTAATAAATGAATATTTTAATAAATATTGGTTTTTATTAGTAAGCCTAGTCAGATACCTACTTTAAGTCTGTTTAACCAGGAGTCTTACCTGATAAACTGTCATATATCTCTTCCACTATGCTCGACTTTTTTAATCTATTTTTGGACAACAAACGCTTTTGAGAAAAGACTATTTCTTATGAACTTTTCTCCGTAATGCAGACTTTACAGCTTGCTTTATGATTAAATTTTTCAGTGGATGCATAGCTATTCCGTTAAATGTCTTATTTGTATTGCGTTAAACGTTCTTTATTTGATTGCTTACAAATTAGAGATATGCAGTATTACCAATGATAGTTTGCAAGGATTTGATTGGTTATAGGTTTGATTATGAGCTGAAATCAGTCAGAGAACCATTTGAAGCAGCAGAGACTACTGGACAATTTTACCAGCCCCTAGCTTGAGACTCTTCAGCAATACACACCCACACACCAGGGTTGAAACCCAGAAACTTTCAATGATTTACTAACTGGTGTCAGCTCGTGATCGCACTGGTAACCAATCAACTCTCGGCAAACTAACACTTGATGATTAATCTAATACTAACCAAAGACTGAGTCTATGCAAGAAATTACCTGCGGTTCTAGACAGAAGTCATAACTAGCGGTGTCCACCAACTCAGGTAAGAGAAAATTTACTCACCTATGACACTGGTATGCAGTCGCGCTATATATACATATATATATATATATGTTCCAAAAGTGCGAAATCATTCTACCGAAACAAGTTTACAACTTATCATGCATAATAAGAGACCCAAAAGTTTTTAAGCCTCCTTTAGTAAAAGGTGGGGGTGGGGGATTTGGAATGTTAATTCCTGTTTTAGTCAAGATGTACTGCCCATCTAAATATTAAGTATACGTGTTTCTGTTCCACTAAACAAAGGCTTGTACATATTAATTGTTCTAGTATATTGTTCCTTTGCAGCTGTCTAAGTAGGCTGAAGAAAAGTTGGTTTCCTTATTCCCTTGCTATTGACAGTGACTGCTGATGACATTAGTTATCAAGGGATAATTGTATGCTCAAAGACGACAGAGATAATATTTAAAGACAGGTATAAGAGTAATATATATATATATATATATATATATATATATATAAACGTTTTATTTATTCATGAGTACTTTGAATCAAATATATTGTACTAACTAATCCATTTAATTAAACTATTCCCTTTGGATTTATTTCACATTTTATGTTGTGTTTTACTCTGGGTTTTTTTCATTTTCATTTTCAAATGAGAACAAGAATAATTGAAATGATGCTTTTATGAAAAAATATCTAATATCAGATAGAAGAGGTATCACGCGAGATAGGTGTCTAGTATTATGAAGCTTAGTTAGTACTAGCTGTTAAAAGCTGAATAATTTATAAGGATTATTGTTCTAATCCTTTACCAGAAATAAGAGAATATAGTGTTGTTGTTTTTCTTTTGTATTTATGCCTAATTGATAAGTAGTACAGTACAAAGACGCGTATATATATATCGTGCTAAAAGGCAATCATACAGACAGTAACCAGTACAAAACAAAAACATTTTGTTAATGATCAGTCAGACAATTTCACTAGTCTGTCGCTTTAATTTCAGCTTATTATCAAAACAGAAGTATGGTACCCCTTTTGACCTCTGTAGCATAACATTTGTTTGTTTACATTTTCGCACAATGTGCAGCCAGTTTTTCTGTTTTCTCTCTCACACTGGTCGCCTTATAATATTTACCTGATTTTATCTTATGTTCAACGCTGTCTATAAACGTTTTTTTGGTATACACCTACATCATATTAGAAGGGAATCGGCTTAATCTTCCATTGTTATCTAAAACGCTAAATACATTCCGTTTTTTCGTCAGTAAATACACACCTGTTGCTCGTATTTTATCGCCGTGATTATTCTGGAAGTGTGTACTACTTACCGATGGGGCATATTATCTATTACTTAGACAAATATACTTTCTGAGTATTATAGAAAAAGTAAACTGTAAGCGAATATTTAACTGTCGATCAGTCAATTATATTTGATTAGAAGATAATAGGATTGTGAAAGTTATAGGATTGAAAGGAGTAAATGACTCAGTATATTTTTTTAAAAGCCTACTGTTTCACTAATGTTACATACACTAGCCATTTTAGATGAAACTTAAGCACTACAATTCATTTTACTGGTTTGTAATTTATTTTTAAAAAAATACTTTCTATGTTTCATCTCTGAGTTTTTCACTTTCAAGAAAATCCCAGAGTATATGTTCATTTCTCTTCGTTGTAGATGTGTTATTAGTTACTGTGACCATTACTGTCGGTGATATTTCAAATACCACTACTATATATATTGTTATCCTCTTAGTTTCCGACTGGAACGTAGGGCTTCAACAACACATCCCCACTTTCTTCTGTTTTCTGCCACCCTCCTCATCTGGATCCACGATTGCTCATAATCTCTAATCTCCTCCTCGCATGACAACCTACTTGCCACCTGAGACGACCCAGTTGTCGCTTCTCATTTGGATTCCACTGAAGCTTCGGCATACATTGCGCGCAATGTCATTCGACGGCCTGTCTCCTCAAAGTATGCCTGAAACCTCTCCATTTTCTCTTATATATTTGTTGGGCGATCGGTTATTGGTTGGTTTGTTCCCATAGTTTCTTGTGGCTGGTTCTTTCTTGCCAGCAGGCTATTTGATCTTCAGTATGGAGGGAGCAGATGTTGACCAATGTCTATAAATTGTTGGAAATGCTTTTGGTGACGTTCAGTTCAGGTTTCTGACCCGTATAAAAGAAGTAACCTGACATTTTTGTACTTCTACTATAACTAGGTAAACCACAGCTAACATCAGTAGAACTTTATAACTACAAAAAGTTGTCAGTGTTCATCTTATTTCAAAACATAATAAATCTACAGAAAATATAGAGCAAACTGACTCTTTGATAAGGATTTATATCAGCGCTTCTGTACGATGGTTTTCCTTTCAGTACGAAATCTAGGTAAATTGTTTTCGATTGTGTAGATATTACTCTAATTAAAAGCGTGTGTTGGATAGATAGTATTCGATAACTAAGCGTTCATGATATGGTATCGACAATTATTCATGTAAAGTTCAGCGAAATGTTATTATTATTATCATTATTCCCATTGGTTCAGAGTGGAAGATAGTGTTATGTACTGGTCGAGAATTTAATAGTCCTGACGCAATAAAGACGGAAATCAGAAGACCACTAGGTTTGCGATGATACTTCTATTTTCCAAACACCAGGAGAATCAACGTCACACAAGAGTGTGAGAGAAAAAATATACGAATGTCCGAACAAGTGTGTGAGCGAATATTCAAAATGAACAAATCAATAGACAGTCTTAACATGATTGGCTAATTGTAATGGAATACCGATCCATATATACATACCAAAATATATCAGAGTGTCAAACAAACACACATATTATGTGGATATATATCAGATAGGACCTTAGCAGCACGTCAACATTTCACTTTATTTCTTGCAGTCTATTTTAGATGGCTTTATGATCGCCTAAAAGGTTTTATTTCATCTTCAAACGATCCTGACATCGCTCCTAGGCGCCTGTTACATCGCTTTCTATTCAGGTTCCACTCAAGAGTCTGGAACATGGAGTCAATGAACGGTTTCCCAACTATGTGTTTAATCTATGACTCACGATACATTTGCTAGGCAACAGACTCCTGATTAGTTCGTTCTCAGAGGTTCTTGTTGCTAATTCCTTCTGACTGGCTATTTGGCATTCACTATGATGCGAAGATAGCTCTGAGTGAAAGTCTGATAAACGTTTGAAATGCTAATGGTGATTCGCCAAGTATCTGTACCATACAAAAAAGTGACCTAATATAAGCGTTGAAAATCCTTCATCTTGTTGTTTATAGTAACTGCAACAGATTCCCAAACTGGTTTCAGAATCATGAAGTCATGTCTTGTTTTTCTAATCCTAATTAGCTTTCACACTTTTGTCTTTACTGCCTCCAGTTGGATCTAAGCTGCCTAAATAACTGGAAGTGATGACCTCCTTCAAATTTCCCACGTTGATGGTGACTAATACTTGTTGTTATCTGTGGGTTGTCTTCACCACCTCTTTTCTCTGTGTTTTCTTTAGGTCTTGTATTCTTTCCTAGCCTCTTCTGCTAAACTGTTGATTTTTCCTTATAGACCTTTGATTCTGTATGAAATTAGGCATAAATCGTTAGCCAGGTCCAGGTCTTCTGCAATCCTTTCGTTGGATCAATGTATGTCTGCCTTCCCTTCTCCAGAGTTTGCTGCATAAGCTATTCCATCGCAGTCACATTCCATACTCTGTTATAAAATTCCTGGCTAGTACTTGTATAGTCTCGTTCTGCAACTTTTCACCACATACTTCTTAATCTACTGTGAATATGATGACTCTTCAAAAATAAAAACTGCCTAGTTCGTCAATTTAGTCACATTAATTGGCTTGTTATGCAGTCCGGATTTAAGCTGAATATGGCGCAAATTGTGACGCAAGTCTTTCTTGAAAAAATGAGTCGCAAATTGCAACAGGAACAAAATGGTTTATCCAAAAGCAAAGGTTAATTTATCAAAAAGTATTCGTCGTTTAATAATACTGAGGAAAACGTTAGGTGTTAGATAGTTATTGTGGTACTAGTAACAGACGAATAAATATACCACTAATTACAACACTCAGAAATGATAGGTGATAATGGTATAAAACGTTTAGAAATACAATCTTCCCTGAGCATTTCCTAACAAGTCGCATATTCATCATGCTTTTATTTTCATTGGCTTACACTAAATTGTGATACAAGTCAAATGGTTTACTACTGACACGTTTTTTGATCATTAAAAACTCAGTGGATATAATGACATTACTTTGTAACACTTTTAGTTTTATGGAAATATATTCACTCTGAACTTATAGAAACATGCTGTTTAACTCTGTATCTGAAACATTTATCATGATATCTATGTTTAGTAACTGTTAACCTATCAGATATTACTATGAGACATGCGTTCTATTTATATTTCGTTTTCTGAAGGAGTGTTACACTTTCAGTTAATACAGAGAAAGTAATTCAGAAATTTAGAATGCTTTCCAACCAAAAATGTGGTCAGAAGCTCAACTTCTTGTCGTTTCACTCCTAAGCCTCATCATGTCGGTAGCAAGCCAGAAAAACAGGAAAGGTTAGTCGCTAGGCGACCAAGCACACCTCATAGGAAACAATACTAGCGCCACGGAAACTTTAAGACTCCAAGGTTGAAGCCTCATCATCCAATGGGAATGAGAAAAATTTACAAATTAATTTTTACTAATATCCCAATTCATTAAACTTACCACAGTTAGCAGAGTACCAACATTTGTATCTAAACTTAAGTTCAATTTAAAGCCAGTTACAGGTGATATGAAATTCACATTCGGGTTGTCCGGAACATTTTTTTCTCCATCAGCTTTATTTGTTAACTGAGAACGTAGTGCTGAGGATTCAATGAAACGTGGTTTATTATCATTTAGATCTAAGACATGAACTGTAACAGTCACTGAGTTGGATAGCTTCATAGGAATGCCATTATCTTCAGCAATAACTGTCAGTATAATTACAGGGGTCTTTTCACGATCAATCACTCCATAAACAGTAAGCTTGCCATCATGACTGATCTACAAAGAATGGAATGAAAATAAACAATTTTTAAATCTTCACTAAGCTAAAAAGATGTAAGACATAATCGTAAATATTTTGAAATCGATTTCTACCGTTATCTAAGCATTAAAATCTAAGTTCTGTGTGACTAATAATGCATCCTGGTCTTCTCAGAATCAGGAAGTTATACTTGAAAGAAATGTAAGGTACTTCAGTAATAGTTTATAACGTTAAATTAGTTCTTTTTTAGATAAATCACACAATGAACAAACACATATCTGGTTTACTGTATAGGTCAGAGTAGTGGCTAGTGCCAACTTCATACATATCTGAGTATAAATAAACGATCAAACGATATCACAAAAGTCTTTGATAAATGTGATTACCTGAATTAATCGAGAGTTGAATGCATATGCTGGACCATGGATTTTATTGCCTACTAAATTGTTATGGTTATTATTATTATCTTGTTCGGAGCTAAGTCGATATGTTATTGATCCATTTCTGCCCAAATCCATATCTGTAGCTACAACAGATCCTAGAATTTGATGAATTGTAGACGAACCATAACTTTCCACAATCTGATGCAAAGAAAAGACGAGAAAAAAACGACATTGAAAAATCAAATTGATGGGTGCCTCAATTGTTTTTGCAATAATATAATAATTACTTTAAATTTATTCAAATAATAAAACAATATATAAAACTGAAATGATTATTTGTTTTACTAAATCTAAATTTGTCAGTGAAAACTGTGAAGTGACTACTAGAAAACGTATTTACGCTTTAGTAAATAATACGAAAACAAAACACATTTCATCCTGAAGTAATAAAACATGACAGATTTTGTAAATGTTAAATCTGTCAAACTTCTTGGAGAAAATAAGCAAGTGATGCTCATTCATTATCACGTATCATACGTGGCTTTTGGTATCAAAAATATGGAAATTGAGGTTTGTATATAGTTCTTATGAGGAATACGAAAGAAATATGAGATCACAGTTGTGTAATTCTTGATTATATTGCGTCTATTTGATACAGATCGTAGAAAATACCCATCAGTACATTAGACATTCATATTTAAAGTTTGAACCCTCAGATTTAGTAGTTCTATGATCTTCATCCATGTATGACCTCGTTAACAGACTCCAGGAATTCATGAAGGAATTTCTCTTACAAGTTTTAGATGTCAGTTAAGTGAACAAAATGAAAGGGAAGGTACTAGCATTTAGGGAAAATCAACACACCAGGAAACCTAATCAGAGCTTTGCTAATTTTACGTTACATCAGCGTTCCGATCCACATCTACGCAAGGCAGCTGAATGAACAGAAAGTAGTGAGAGATAAGTAGACAAAAGGAGACCTTCAGTCATTAATTTTCCCCTAGGATATCTTTGAGGATTTCTGTGAGTAGAAAAGGTATTGATTAAGTTGTAAACTATCCATGTTACTTAAATGCAGAGATAAAGTGTAATATTTCGTGTTATTAACACCTAACAATATGAAACTCAAAATCTTAAGTCAATTAAAGACAATCTTAAGTCAACTAAAATCGGGATGAAATTTAAACACAAAATGTCTATTCTGAGATAGACTAATATTCTAAATTCCACTTCAGAACATTTAAAGCCTACATTTTAATGTATTATGAACAGAAATCAGATGAAGTTAACTTATGTGAAACTATGCGCAAGTACACTGATTAAATTATGCTTTTAAAAAAAATTAACTCCATCTCTTAACATCACAGTCCCTACTTCTAGGTCAAGATCATTCCTACCCGATTTAAAAGATATTCAACTTCCTTTTATACCTGATGCAGTGCTTGTTGTATTTGATCTTCCAATGGAAAAGATCTACTTTTATGCATTTCCTAGCGTTTCAAGTGAAACATTCTGCCTCGAACTCTGAGATTCCAGTAACGACGGTGTTGTTTTTAAGGTGTGGGGTTGCTAGCCTCATGCCTAACCTTCCCTCCTTTTTACGCACACTACCGGATAGCAGAGGTTTAGAGGTGCATTGGCCGGGAGTTGAATCTGGACCTCATGTGTGGCAGGCAGGCAACCTACCATTCAACCATTACTTATTAGTTTTATCCAGTGAGCGTTTTCCATAAAGAAATGTTAAACTTCTAACCATTTTCTTATTGAGAATATAAATTATTTTATTGGCAAAATAAAGTAACATAATGTGGTGTTATGCATTCACGCATTATCTAGATTTGTGATGACTCTGACTGATCAACTATGTTAGGAAACGTCTTGAAACTAAGAGTGTACACAAAGTGGATTAAATCAATATAACAGAAGTGAATCTTTTGTAATAGTGTAATGATCAAATGACATCAGTATCCAAACTGTAAAATACGTGCTAAAATTGGCACAAACAAAAGTGCACAGAACTTGTCAAGCGATATATGAACGAAATTTTTAATAAAAACGGAGTGACAGAGGAAATATGACGTAGAAAACCGAGCAATAGCACTAAGTAGTACAACAGAAAACCTAAACGATGAAATGAAACGGATAGAAAAGGTGTTGGTGTTAAATAACTAACACATAGAATTCATTAGAAATATTAAAATAGGTGAAAAGCAAAATCAAAATAATGAGGTAACTAATAATGATAACATAAATAAGAATGAATATAAGGCATCTACAGTTTTACCATATAAGAAGGGGACATCTGAGACCCTTCCTACATAGGATTCTCAATAAAGCAGGAATTAAGGTGGCATTTAAACCAACAAACTCACTCAGAGATAAGCTGTTTAGAATGTGAGTTAAGCCAACTACATAGGTCAAACCAGTAGATCGGGGGTAATCAGATTGGCAGAACATAAGAATGTAGTGAAGGTTAGAATGATAGACTCCACGAAGATAAGTAATTTAGAAAAGTGCTCAGCCATCGCACTGCATGCATTAACACCCAACCACCCCATAGGGTGGGACGGAGTCAAAGTTCTAAGAAGTAATATAGGTAGAGAGAGAGAGACTGACTACTGAATCCCTGGTCCATCCAACACATGCAACAGAAGTGTCTCAACGCAAATACCAGGGATATGGAAGATATTATTACTACCAGTCAAATCAGAGAATAATAAATTGTTAAAATGCATTTCACTTCACATTATAACATTCTAACAAGTTATTTATTTTACTATAAAAAACATCTCATTTCCCATCTTACTGTACTTTTTTGATAACACTAATATTACTTCCAAATGAACTTTATCTTATATTGTTGATTTTATTCAAATGTCTAATCAGTTCCACTCATGTATATAAATGTAGCAGAAAAGTTATGAGTGAGTGCCTTGATATGATTATGAGCAATAATAAATTGTGCTCAGAAGGTGGGCATCAGTAAATATTACTGTATAAGACTGTCTGATTTTATCAAAATAAAATTGTATCCATAATGGAGTTGCGAAACGAATACTTATTTTGGAGAGGAATAGTTAATATTATAGAGGATGTAGAAACCCTTCCACCTATCTAATACACATAGATTTCAATCTTTCGAGGTTTTCTACAACATTAGTTGGCTACCTGTTTATGCAGTTACATATATATATATATATATATATATATATATATATATATATATATATACTTTTAAGTATTGGTTTGTTGTAGGGATATATATATACGTTTAGAACCGCTCATTTGCTTATTCATTTATCGTTTTAATTAGGCATAGAGCACTTCACACTTAGTGAGCGCCATTTTTACCACTGGATTAGAAAAACTGGAATTGATTGATTGGAATTAGATTAGCTGGAGATCCTCTTCTATTTAGCTTCGTTATTATTATTATTTTACTACAAAAGTAGCATATTTTTCCTCTCTGTCTAGTTTGTCTACTGGAGAGAGAATAGCTATCGCAATCTATATACATATATATATATATAATTTATTTTAATATACAGCTGGTTCATTTTCACAAATTCGTTTAATACAAAAAAAGACACATTTTTCATGAGATATGATGAAAAACCTTCATTTCTGTGTTATTTTTTTTTGGTTTCGTAAATGCGGAGAGATTGAAAACGTTAAACTTTATTTACAAAGAAAAAACAAATTATCTACGCACATTCATGATTAGCTCAAACACTTTATGTTAGTTAAGATTGTATAAATAATGAGACTGTACAAAAATAAAAATTGCAAATAAGAGAATCTATAAAGGGGATGAAATTCAGTTAGTTCATATATATGTTTGCCTTTTTTTATTAGTGAAAGAAAACTTCAGTGAACTGACGATATACCATGGCCATTTTATACAATAAGTAGCACATAGCTATTCGTATACACGTTACGATTGATGCAGAAGATGACAAGACAGTTTTAATCTTTACTAGTTAATAATACTGCACCAATTAACACATACATTACAAAAACAGTTTACAATAGACTTTTGTAGACATTTTTATGAAATGTTGCTTTTCTTCTTTACTGGAATTCAGGTGACCGGTCAGAATAAAGCTTTGGAATAAAGCTATTATTATTATTAGTTTTTTAAAAAGAGGGAACTATTAATAGGGAACTCTGCAAGTCAACAAAACAACCAAGGAAACGTACCCTACCAAATGTGCTGCGGAAAATAAAGATGTCTTGAACACACTCCGAAGAGACCACTAAGTGAGTTTTTGAGCCAGACAGACACTCTAGTGCAACCGGGATGTGAAACAACAAGCAAGGTGAGAGTCCAAGAGTAAAGTCGAGGAGATCGTGTGACGGGGAGATAAAAGCTAATAGGCAAACGTGGAGTCAGCTAAAGGGGACTAAAGAGAATAGGGTTGAATAGAGATGCACTGTTGTAGGTTAACGCAATAATAATAAACATCATACAATTCTGACTGTTTATAAAATTGCATAATGAGCTGATATCGGTTAGAAAACCATTGGAAAACATGTAGGGAGCACTGGACAGCTATTTCCTACGTCATGGTTTGGGACTCTTCATCAGTATGCACAGACCATCAGGACTCGAACAAAGTACCTTCTGGTTACAAAGGGAACAAGTAGACAACCAGGACACTAGAATCCGGTTCAATGGCCAGTGAATTCCAACTTCTTCCAATTCATTATATAGATGGATCACTTGCCAATATCATGGTTGGCGAGTATTTGTCCTCACACACAAAACTTTTAATGGTAATTAATTTATTAGTAATGGAATTTGTTGTCACTTTACAGATGAATCATTCCATTTTAACGGAATGTCAAATTTTCTGTTGGTTCAAATAAATTGGGATAACGCTATTGAATATTCAGTGAGTTTGGGTTATTTCAGTCTAGTTTCTTCGTTGAACATTTCCTATTTTACTTCTTCATGCTTGAATTAGGAGAAAGAAAGTTTAAGCTAATTTTTTCATAAAAGACATAAATTCATAATTGTTATTTTTAGTTGTTTCTTGTTCTAAATTCGATAAAATATATTTCACCAACTACTGCCAAGAATAGAGGAAACTGCATGCTACTTTTATTATATGGTGAATGAAACAGTAAGTCAGCGTTTTTATAAAAGTGACTTACTTACTAGGTAAACAGTTTAAGAATAGCACATTTTCAGGCAA